GCGAGAACAAGCGTCTAGCGAGTGCAGAATTTCAAGAACAAGCGTCTAGCGAGTGCAGAATTGCGAGAACAAGCGTCTAGCGAGTGCAGAATTGCAAGAACAAGCGTCTAGCGAGTGCAGAAGTGCGAGAACAAGCGTCTAGCGAGTGCAGAAGTGCGAGAACAAGCGTCTAGCGAGTGCAGAAGTGCGAGAACAAGCGTCTAGCGAGTGCAGAATTGCGAGAACAAGCGTCTAGCGAGTGCAGAATTGCGAGAACAAGCGTCTAGCGAGTGCAGAATTGCGAGAACAAGCGTCTAGCGAGTGCAGAATTGCGAGAACAAGTGTCAAGCGAGTGCAGAATTGCGAGAACAAGCGTCTAGCGAGTGCAGAATTGCAAGAACAAGCGTCTAGCGAGTGCAGAATTGCAAGAACAAGCGTCTAGCGAGTGCAAAATTGCAAGAACAAGTGTCTAGCGAGTGCAAAATTGCGAGAACAAGCGCCTAGCGAGTGCAGAATTGCAAGAACAAGCGTCTAGCGAGTGCAGAATTGCGAGAACAAGCATCTAGCGAGTGCAGAATTGCGAGAACAAGCGTCTAGCGAGTGCAGAATTGCAAGAACAAGCATCTTGCGAGTGCAGAATTGCAAGAACAAGCGTCTAGCGAGTGCAGAATTGCAAGAACAAGCGTCTAGCGAGTGCAAAATTGCAAGAACAAGTGCCTAGCGAGTGCAAAATTGCGAGAACAAGCGTCTAGCGAGTGCAAAGTTGCAAGAACAAGCGTCTAACGAGTGCAGAATTGTGAGAACAAGCATCTAGCGAGTGCAGAATTGCGAGAACAAGCGTCTAGCGAGTGAAGAATTGCAAGAACAAGTGTCTAGCGAGTGCAGAATTGCGAGAACAAGCGTCTAGCGAGTGCAGAATTGCAAGAATAAGCGTCTAGCGAGTGCAGAATTGCGAGAACAAGCGTCTAGCGAGTGCAAAATTGCGAGAACAAGCGTCTAGCGAGTGCAGAATTGCGAGAACAAGCGTCTAGTGAGTGCAGAATTGCAAGAACAAGCGTCTAGCGAGTGCAGAATTGCGAAAACAAGCGTCTAGCGAGTGCAGAATTGCGAGAACAAGCGTCTAGCAAGTGCAGAATTGCGAGAACAAGTGTCTAGCGAGTGCAGAATTGCGAGAACAAGCGTCTAGCGAGTGCAGAATTGCAAGAACAAGCGTCTAGCGAGTGCAGAATTGCAAGAACAAGCGTCTAGCGAGTGCAAAATTGCAAGAACAAGTGCCTAGCGAGTGCAAAATTGCGAGAACAAGCGCCTAGCGAGTGCACAAAATTGCAAGAACAAGCGTCTAACGAGTGCAGAATTGTGAGAACAAGCGTCTAGCGAGTGCAAAATTGCGAGAACAAGCGTCTAGCGAGTGCAGAATTGCGAGAACAAGCGTCTAGCGAGTGCAGAATTGCGAGAACAAGTGTCTAGCGAGTGCAGAATTGCGAGAACAAGCGTCTAGCGAGTGCAGAATTTCAAGAACAAGCGTCTAGCGAGTGCAGAATTGCGAGAACAAGCGTCTAGCGAGTGCAGAATTTCAAGAACAAGCGTCTAGCGAGTGCAGAAGTGCGAGAACAAGCGTCTAGCGAGTGCAGAAGTGCGAGAACAAGCGTCTAGCGAGTGCAGAAGTGCGAGAACAAGCGTCCAGCGAGTGCAGAATTGCGAGAACAAGCGTCTAGCGAGTGCAGAATTGCGAGAACAAGCGTCTAGCGAGTGCAGCAGAATTGCGAGAACAATCGTCCAGCGAGTGCAGAATTGCAGAGAACAAGCGTCTAGCGAGTGCAGAATTGCGAGAACAAGCGTCTAGCGAGTGCAGAAGTGCGAGAACAAGCATCTAGCGAGTGCAGAATTGCAAGAACAAGCGTCTAGCGAGTGCGGAATTGCGAGAACAAGCGTCTAGCGAGTGCAGAATTGCGAGAACAAGGGTCTAGCGAGTGCAGAATTGCGAGAACAAGCATCTAGCGAGTGCAGAATTGCGAGAACAAGCGTCTAGCGAGTGCAGAATGCGAGAGAACAAGCGTCTAGCGAGTGCAGAATTGCGAGAACAAGCGTCTAGCGAGTGCAGAATTGCGAGAACAAGCGTCTAGCGAGTGCAGAATTGCGAGAACAAGCGTCTAGCGAGTGCAGAATTGCGAGAACAAGCGTCTAGCGAGTGCAGAATTGCAAGAACAAGCGTCTAGCGAGTGCAGAATTGCGAGAACAAGCGTCTAGCGAGTGCAGAATTGCGAGAACAAGCGTCTAGCGAGTGCAGAATTGCGAGAACAAGCTCTAGCGAGTGCAGAATTGCGAGAACAAGCGTCTAGCGAGTGCAGAATTGCGAGAACAAGCGTCTAGCGAGTGCAGAATTGCGAGAACAAGCGTCTAGCGAGTGCAGAATTGCGAGAACAAGCGTCAGCGAGTGCAGAATTGCGAGAACAAGCGTCCAGCGAGTGCAGAAGTGCGAGAACAAGCGTCTAGCGAGTGCAGAAGTGCGAGAAACAAGCGTCTAGCGAGTGCAGAATTGCGAGAACAAGCGTCTAGCGAGTGCAGAATTGCGAGAACAAGCGTCTAGCGAGTGCAGAATTGCGAGAACAAGCGTCTAGCGAGTGCAGAATTGCGAGAACAAGGTCTAGCGAGTGAGTGCAGAATTGCGAGAACAAGTGTCTAGCGAGTGCAGAATTGCGAGAACAAGCGTCTAGCGAGTGCAGAATTGCAAGAACAAGCGTCTAGCGAGTGCAGAATTCTTGCACAAGCCGTTCAGAAGTGCAGAAGCGAGAACAAGCGTTTCTAGCGAGTGCAGAAGTGCGAGAACAAGCGTCTAGCGAGTGCAGAAGTGCGAGAACAAGCGTCTAGCGAGTGCAGAATTGCGAGAACAAGCGTCTAGCGAGTGCAGAAGTGCGAGAACAAGCGTCTAGCGAGTGCAGAATTGCGTGAACAAGCGTCTAGCGAGTGCAGAATTGCGAGAAGAACAAGCGTCTAGCGAGTGCAGAATTGCGAGAACAAGCGTCTAGCAATTCTGCATTCGCTAGACGCTTGTTCTCGCAATTCTGCACTCGCTAGACGCGTTCTCGCGAGTGCTGCATTGCTAGAACGCTTGTTCTAGCAATTGCACTCGCTAGACGCTTGTTTTGCAATTCTGCGTCGCTAGCGCTTGCTTGAATTCCAGAACACGTTGTCTAGCGTTTCAGAATTGCTAGACAAGCTTTTTGCAGTGCGCATTTGACAAGCGTCTTCCCACTGCTGAATTGCGAGAACAAGCGTCTAGCGAGTGCAGAATGCTAGAACAAGCGTCTTGCGGTGCAGAAGTGCGAGAACAAGGCGTCAGCGCGTGCAGAAGTGCGACAAAAGCGTTAGCGAGTGTGGCAGAAAAATTGCGAGAAAAAGCGTCTGGCGGGTGCTGAAGCAGAATTGCGTGGACAAGCGTTCCAGAGCGAGTTCAAACAATGCGAGAGAACAAGCGTTCAGCGCAGTGCAGAAGTTGCGACAACAAGCGTTGCGACAAAAGACGTTGGACAAAACGAGCGTTGCGAGTGCAGAATTGCAAAACAAGCGTCAAAACGAGTGCAGCATTGGAGAAAACGCGTTGGACAAGCGAGTTGGACAAAATTGGAGAAAAAGCGTTGGCAAAACAGAATTCGCAAGAAAAAGCGTCTGCGAGTCAGAATTGCGAGAACAAACGTTGGCAAATCAGCGTTGGAGAAAAGCGTCTTGCGAGTGCAAATTGGAGAAAACGCGTTAGCGAGTGCAAAATGCGAGAACAAGTGTCAAAACGAGTTGCAGAATTGCGAAACAAGCGTCTAGCGCTTGCACAATTTCGGAACAAGCGTCTCACGAGTGCAGAATTGCGAGAAAAGCGTCTAGCACTGCAGAATTGCAACAACAAGGGGGGAGCGGGGGGGGAAGGGGTTGAAGGGGGGTCGATCAATCGCCCTCGCGCGATTCTGCTCTGAGATGCACTGACATTTCGATTCAATTGGAACTGCAAGACTAGATGAACAATTTGGTGCGCTTAAAACATATTTCTATATTTGTCATTATATAAGCGCATGCGCTTATAACGACTCATTTATAAGCGCACCCCCCTAAAAAACACTGATTTATTATAAGCGCACCTGCGCTTATATCCGGGGTATTACGGTAGATGTCTTACGAGAAAACAATATCTAACAAAGCCCGCAAATTGTTCATTTGACTAGACACTAAAGCATCATCCATTGCACCCCAGTCAGCGCTAAGAATCTCTGAAGCTTGTTCTAACACTGCCTCTCTATCAACATCCTCCATTCCATCTCCGCCTTCTGACCCCATTAGAAGCACCAGATACAGTTGCTCTGCACAATGCTTCCGAACCTGTTGCAGATGCATCGGAGCATGAATAATAGGAAGGGTCTTGATCTTCTAAACCTGTTGCTCTGCACAATGCTTCCAAACCTGTTGCTGTGACACTGGACAGGCAAGGAGGAGCTACGCAGTGGAGCGCAATGGCAGTACTCTGCCGATACGAGTAGTGGGTGCAATGCTGCCAGAGCAGGCACAATCGCAGTGGGGACTGGCAGGTACACACACAAAGGGGACTATGAGGTGAATTCACAGTGGGGAAGCACACAGCGAGTAGCCAGAGGAGCGTGGAGATGGCGTGGTGGCGAGCGGAGCAGAGGGGGGCGGCGAGGTGGCAGAGCAGGTCGATGGTTCCGAGCATCTTGGGCACCGATGCCGTGGGCTGTGGGCGGCACAGCTCCTCCTCCACTCCCTCCACCAGCACCCCGGGTAGAGCCGCCAGGGGGGTGGTGGCGGGAACAGGCTGCGAGGGGGGTGTGGGAGGGCAGGGTTTAGGGTATGCAGAATGCAGGATGAAGGCGGTTGGCATGCACAGAGGGATGGCCCGATGGCCCAGAGTGTGAGGATGATGTGAATGGGGGAAGGTGAATGATGCCAACAGGGTTAGCGGGCGTTGGAGAGGGCAGGTGCAGTGCAGGGCTTCACGGACCTCGTCTGAAGCTGGACTGTCAGCTGAAGAACTCGGCCTGAAGCAGGGCAGCGATCGCCTGCAGTGAGAGCAGAGGGCAACCAGTAGGAGCACACACACAGAAAGAGCGGCAGGGCACAGCCACTAGCAGGAGAGGTAGGAGGAGAGATGTAACGAGAGGCAAATGGCGGTTACGGAGGCACGTGTGACAGTGGTGCATGTGCATGTGCAGGTGCAGGTGCGGCAAGGGCGGATGAGAATGATTACGGCTTCTCAGACTGAAAGGTGCGGCTGTGGTGGGCACCTGAGTGAATGGGGTGCGAGTGGACGACAGCGACGTGACGTCAGCAGCATTCACTATGGCAATTCCCCCTGCTGGCGCCCACTGCTCCTCCTTCTTGGCACCGCTCTCCACCGCATCACCTCCTTGGCCAGCTCCTCTGGTGGAGGCATGGGGTGTGCCTCGGGTGGTGGGCGTGGAGAGCGCCTGGGCGTCGGAGATGCAGCCAAAGCAACCCACCACCTCCTGGAAGGCCGCTGCTGCCGCCCACCTGCACTTCATCTGGGCGCATGGCATGGGGTGTGAAGCATGGGGCATGGGCCTGGGGTTTGAGGCACGGGGCATGGGGCATGAGGTATAGGGGGCGCATGCGACACGGGGCATGTGGCAATGTACATGGGGCATCATGGGGTATGGGCATGGGGCATGGCGGTCACAGCAGCTCACCTGGCGGTCACAGCAGCCCACCTGGCGGTCACACCACGCAACGGCAAGGAGGGGAGGGCAAAGCCGTTGCAGGGAGGCAGCAGCGACGGGACGGGCGGTGAGAAGGAGTGGGCGATGGCCCAGCACACATACGCTGCTGCATCCCGCACATGCGCCCCTATTCCCTCCGCCCCCCACAACACCTCGTAGTGCAACGCCTGGTGAAGGGGAGAAGAGGGAAGGGAGGGGGGAGGGGAGAGAATGTTGGGCGTGGGTGCAGAAAGGAGGGAGCCGCAGAATGGCGGGAGAAGGGGAAAGGGTGAGGGGTGGGCGATGCACGAGGTAGAAATACTGAGGCGTTAGTGCTGTATGGTGGTAAACGGGCATTGCGTGCAGGAGGAGCAGAGAGGGTGTGGACTGTCGATGGCACAGTGATGCGGTGGGGCATTGGAGCATGAAACGAGAGAGAGTGTGTGTACGGTGAGTGAGTGAGTGGTGAGGGTTAAGTGCGCGCAGTGAGCGAGGGGGGGCAGAGGGGGAGGAGGCGCACAGAGGCGAGGAGGGGTGTGACGGAGTGCAGGTGCGACGGCAGCAGCAGCCCTCTAGCTGCCAGCTACGCGAGTGCCAGACACACGCCCTGCCATGCACTGTCCGATGGTAGCTGGGGGAGGCACGGGGTGGGGGAAGGGGCCTCAGGGGAGAGGAGGGATGGATGGTGGGGTGGTGAGGGTGAGATTGAGGAGAGTCACAAGGTGGGTGCTGGGATGGAACGTGAGATAAGCCAGCAGAGTCAACACACAAGCAGCAGAGCAGGCGAAGAAGCAGGGGAGACGAAAAAGATTGCTGTGGGCACTGGAACTTCAACTCATGCGGTTGCAGGGCAATTCCCTCACCTCGTGGGGGTCATGGCAGCGGTACCCTCACTCACCTCGTGGGGGTCGTGGCAGCGGTAGTCTCACTCACCTCGTGGGGGTCGTGGCAGCGGTAGCCTCACTCACCTCGTGGGGGTCGTGGCAGCAGTAGTCTCACTCACCTCGTGGGGGTCGTGGCAGCGGTAGCCTCACTCACCTCGTGGGGGTCGTGGCAGCGGTACCCTCACTCACCTCGTGGGGGCCGTGGCAGCGGGACCCTCACTCACCTTGTGGGGGTCGTGGCAGCGGTAGCCTCACTCACCTCGTGGGGGTCGTAGCAGCGGTTCCCTCACTCACCTCGTGGGGGTCGTGGCAGAGGGACCCTCACTCACCTCGTGGGGGTCGTGGCAGCGGTAGCCTCAATCACCTCGTGGGGGTCGTGGCAGCGGTAGCCTCACTCACCTCGTGGGGGTCGTGGCAGCGGTACCCTCACTCACCTCGTGGGGGTCGTGGCAGCGGTAGCCTCACTCACCTCGTGGGGGTCGTGGCAGCGGTAGCCTCACTCACCTCGTGGGGGTCGTGGCAGCGGTACCCTCACTCACCTCGTGGGGGTCGTGGCAGCGGTAGCCTCAATCACCTCGTGGGGGTCGTGGCAGCGGTAGCCTCACTCACCTCGTGGGGGTCGTGGCAGCGGTACCCTCACTCACCTCGTGGGGGTCGTGGCAGCGGTAGCCTCACTCACCTCGTGGGGGTCGTGGCAGCGGTAGCCTCACTCACCTCGTGGGGGTCGTGGCAGCGGTACCCTCACTCACCTCGTGGGGGTCGTGGCAGCGGTAGTCTCACTCACCTCGTGGGGGTCGTGGCAGCGGTAGCCTTACTCACCTCGTGGGGGTCGTGGCAGCGGTACCCTCACTCACCTCGTGGGGGTCGTGGCAGCGGTACCCTCACTCACCTCGTGGGGGTCGTGGCAGCGGTAGTCTCACTCACCTCGTGGGGGTCGTGGCAGCGGTAGTCTCACTCACCTCGTGGGGGTCGTTGCAGCGGTAGCCTCACTCACCTCGTGGGGGTCGTGGCAGCGGTAGCCTCACTCACCTCGTGGGGGTCGTGGCAGCGGTAGTCTCACTCACCTCGTGGGGATCGTGGCAGCGGTAGTCTCACTCACCTCGTGGGGGTCGTTGCAGCGGTAGCCTCACTCACCTCGTGGGGGTCGTGGCAGCGGTAGCCTCACTCACCTCGTGGGGGTCGTGGCAGCGGTAGCCTCACTCACCTCGTGGGGGTCGTGGCAGCGGTACCCTCACTCACCTCGTGGGGGTCGTGGCAGCGGTAGCCTCACTCACCTCGTGGGGGTCGTGGCAGCGGTACCCTCACTCACCTCGTGGGGGTCGTGGCAGCGGTAGCCTCACTCACTTCGTGTGGGTCGTGGCAGCGGTAGTCTCACTCACCTCGTGGGGGTCGTGGCAGCGGTACCCTCACTCACCTCGTGGGGGTCGTGGCAGCGGTACCCTCACTCACCTCGTGGGGGTCGTGGCAGCGGTACCCTCACTCACCTCGTGGGGGTCGTGGCAGCGGTAGCCTCACTCACCTCGTGGGGATCGTGGCAGCGGTGGCCTCACTCACCTCGTGGGGGTCATGGCAGCGGTACCCTCACTCACCTCGTGGGGGTCGTGGCAGCGGTAGCCTCACTCACCTCGTGGGGGTCGTGGCAGCGGTACCCTCACTCACCTCGTGGGGGTCGTGGCAGCGGTAGCCTCACTCACCTCGTGGGGGTCGTGGCAGCGGTACCCTCACTCACCTCGTGGGGGTCGTGGCAGCGGTACCCTCACTCACCTAGTGGGGGTCGTGGCAGCGGTAGCCTCACTCACCTCGTGGGGGTCGTGGCAGCGGTAGCCTCACTCACCTCGTGGGGGTCGTGGCAGCGGTACCCTCACTCACCTCGTGGGGGTCGTGGCAGCGGTACCCTCACTCACCTCGTGGGGGTCGTGGCAGCGGTAGCCTTACTCACCTCGTGGGGGTCGTGGCAGCGGTACCCTCACTCACCTCGTGGGGGTCGTGGCAGCGGTACCCTCACTCACCTCGTGGGGGTCGTGGCAGCGGTAGTCTCACTCACCTCGTGGGGGTCGTGGCAGCGGTAGTCTCACTCACCTCGTGGGGGTCGTTGCAGCGGTAGCCTCACTCACCTCGTTGGGGTCATGGCAGCGGTAGCCTCACTCACCTCGTGGGGGTCGTGGCAGCGGTACCCTCACTCACCTCGTGGGGGTCGTGGCAGCGGTACCCTCACTCACCTCGTGGGGGTCGTGGCAGCGGTAGCCTCACTCACCTCGTGGGGGTCGTGGCAGCGGTACCCTCACTCACCTCGTGGGGGTCGTGGCAGCGGTAGCCTCACTCACTTCGTGTGGCTCGTGGCAGCGGTAGTCTCACTCACCTCGTGGGGGTCGTGGCAGCGGTACCCTCACTCACCTCGTGGGGGTCGTGGCAGCGGTACCCTCACTCACCTCGTGGGGGTCGTGGCAGCGGTACCCTCACTCACCTCGTGGGGGTCGTGGCAGCGGTAGCCTCACTCACCTCGTGAGGGTAGTGGCAGCAGTAACCTCACTAACCTCGTGGGGGTCGTGGCAGCGGTACCCTCACTCACCTCGTGGGGGTCGTGGCAGCGGGAGCCTCACTCACCTCGTGGGGGTCGTGGCAGCGGTACCCTCACTCACCTCGTGGGGGTCGTGGCAGCGGTAGCCTCACTCACCTCGTGGGGATCGTGGCAGCGGTGGCCTCACTCACCTCGTGGGGGTCATGGCAGCGGTACCCTCACTCACCTCGTGGGGGTCGTGGCAGCGGTAGCCTCACTCACCTCGTGGGGGTCGTGGCAGCGGTACCCTCACTCACCTCGTGGGGGTCGTGGCAGCGGTACCCTCACTCACCTCGTGGGGGTCGTGGCAGCGGTAGCCTCACTCACCTCGTGGGGGTAGTGGCAGCGGTACCCTCACTCACCTCGTGGGGGTCGTGGCAGCGGTAGCCTCACTCACCTCGTGGGGGTCGTGGCAGCGGTAGCCTCACTCACCTCGTGGGGGTCGTGGCAGCGGTACCCTCACTCACCTCGTGGGGGTCGTGGCAGCGGTACCCTCACTCACCTCGTGGGGGTCGTGGCAGCGGTAGCCTCACTCACCTCGTGGGGGTAGTGGCAGCGGTACCCTCACTCACCTCGTGGGGGTCGTGGCAGCGGTAGCCTCACTCACCTCGTGGGGGTCGTGGCAGCGGTAGCCTCACTCACCTCGTGGGGGTCGTGGCAGCGGTACCCTCACTCACCTCGTGGGGGTCGTGGCAGCGGTAGCCTCACTCACCTAGTGGGGGTCGTGGCAGCGGTAGCCTCACTCACCTCACTCACACTCACGCACTCACTGACTTGCTCGGTCACTCACCCTCACTCACTCACACTGACGCAGCAGCGCTGCTCGCCACTCACCGTTCAACGCCTCTATGCGCCGCTTCCGCTGCCCTCCCTGCTCTCTCGGGGCCACCACTGCCGCCTCCAGCCTCTGCAGTCGCTGCCACGCCAGACGCCCGCACTCCACACGTCTTGAGGGAAAGGGATGGGCAAAAACGGCGCTGGGGCATGGCGACGCAACGGAGGGCAGCAGATCGCAGCCATCGTCGCGTGCAGATCGCAGTCATCGTCGCGTGCAGATCGCTGCCGTGGTCGCGTGCAGATGGCAGGCATGGTCGCGCGCAGGCCATGGCGATCATGATCGCCAGCACTCCGCATCGTTGCCAATGAACATAGAGAACGCGAAACCCACAGGTGCTGCACGTACGCACGGCTCGCGGCATCCACGGGTCAGAAACGGATGCAGGGCTGTCGGAAGATCTGGACTTGCAACGTCAGGCGAGTGGCAGAGTGAGCGCCGTGACGGAATCGTTACACGTCGCGCCTGCTGCAGTGACGGCTGTCAGACATCCCCGGTGTGCGAGAGGCTGAGATTAATACGCCGTCGTTCGTTTGAGACGAAGCGGTTCGCGACGCTCCCGTCTCACCTCTCCACTGGTCCCCGTCGACCTTCACAGCTGTGAACCGCGCATGTAGCAACTGGTCCACTCCGTCAGTCGTTGTTAACACTCTCAGCATTCCATCGCGGGTGGATGCGTCAGCGCAAGGGACGGCAGATGCGTGCTGCCTAGGTCTCCAAAAAAAGCCCATCTCAGTAGAGACGGAATACTGTCATTTCCTGCATCTTGAGCTTCGGGAACAGTCGGCGTAAGAGGAACCATAAGTGCATAATCCTCACACCTTGCCACAGCATAATACCAACGTGGTAAAGGTGCCTCTTGAAAGGGGATCTGCCAACAGACGAATATGTACGACGTGAGATTGAACCGTACGACTTATTTTCCAGCGATCACCTTCGAGACTAGGAAATGGGAGACTCAGAAGCAGCACGCAGATGAAAACAGGAGCCTTCGAATTGAAAACTCTGAAGCAGTCTCAGATCCGCCGGACGAGACCAGGAAAATACACTCTCCATCGAAGTCCCCTCGTACAGTTTTGTATGATTGGGTTCGTAGTGGTAAGTCACGGTTCTATACACCTGGTTCTGCTTGGCTGGTGAACAGCTTTAAAACCTGACAAAACAAATTGGAGTAGATCAAGAAGTTCAAACCAAGGAATTTGACACCTCACCTCCATGAAGATCATGGCAATATGAAGACGAGACGAGTCTTTTAATTGAAAATTATATAATCTTTAAACGTGAAGATGGTGCAGGCAGAGTGGTGAATTCCAGCACTGATCTCGATTAGAAGTTTATTGGAACATCCATTTAGAGTGACAAGCTGATGAATCCTGCACGTATTAATGCATTAGAAAAATGTTGGTATGGTTGCTGCTAGGTACCAGTTTCATCTCTGTATGCCGCTGCTTCGGTCAGAAATGTCATGACTCCAAGAGTAGGCACCTAGCATGAAGAATGAGGCAGTGTTTAGCAACACACTGTAAAAGCTTCATCTTTAGTCAATGAAATGGAATGAAGTGCGGGTTGCATCCAGCACCCAGATCATTTACCGTAAAGCCCCTGCAAGGAAAACCTGATTTGTCGTTAGTCTCTCTGATCTGATGCTTAAGATTATTCAAGACAATATTCACACTCACCAATGTGCCTGGTGTTGACAGCAGACGAATACGTTAAGGGAACTTGCTGTTTGAGATGAGAGCCTGGCCAGCTGAAGGTGATCTGGGTGGCTCGATATTGCTTGATATCATTGCTTAAAATGGTGAACATTAGATTGGTTTACCATATATAACTCATTTCCTCTGAAGCTGGAACCCAGGGTCGACAAATGTGTCCCCAACAGAAGTTTCAATGAAGGTTGTCCTCATGATGAACGTGCCTCGTAATAAGCTTAAGCAATCAAATTATTAATTCATTCACGGTCTCTGCACGAGAAATAAGCGTCAAGAGGAGAGTCAACATCCCAGGTGTAAAAGAAATGCCATTCTCACCGTATGCACGGGTGACTGGAAAATAAGCTTTAACCTGTGCATTCTCATATCCACCTGCGTGCACATGAAGCAATGAAGAAACTGACTGACGGGAAGGCGAAACGGGATTTAGGAAAAGAATACAAGCACCAGTACAGGAGATGTAATCCAATAGCAGTGAAGAAGCTGCCTTGTGAAACCTTCCAGCCAGCTTAACACGCTTCCGTGTAACATTCACAAGGACCTGCATCTTGTCAGAACATTATAGCTTATGCTGTTGTGTAGGCTATAGTGGGGTATCCCATAGGGGGTACAACCAATTAGGGTTTCATATTTGTACTCACTTCATTTCATAGTCCACCCATTCTTGTTCAAATCTTCTCATGGTATCGAGCAGGTTCCCCTTGGGAACTGTGCTTAGGGCCCACCACATCGATTTTTTTTTCCTGCCCGAAGCCCGCTCAGCCCGAGTCGCGCTTCGGGCCCTCACTTCGTCGAGCCGCCCTAGCGGCCCTGCACTGCGGCCCCGCCACCCGTCTCCGCGGCCCCGCCGCCCGTCTTCGCGGCCCCGCCGCCTCTCTCCTAGCGGCTCCGCCGCCCTACCTAGCGGCCCCGCCGCCCTACCTCGCGGCCTCGCCGCCCCATTACGCGGCCCCGCCGCCCTACCTAGCGGCCCCGCCGCCCCATCGCGGCCCCGCCGCCCCATCGCGCGGCCCCGCCGCCCCATCGCGCGGCCCCGCCGCCCCATCGCGCGGCCCCGCCGCCCTTCCTTGCGGCCCCGCCACCCCATCGCGCGGCCCCGCCGCCCCATCGCGCGGCCCCGCCGCCCCATCGCGCGGCCCCCCCCGCCCTTACCTGCGGTCCCGCCGCCCTCTGCTGCGGCCCCGCCACCTTACCTGCGGCCCCGCCACCTTACCTGCGGCCCCGCCACCTTACCTGCGGCCCCGCCGCCCTCTGCTACGGCCCCGCCACCCTATCTGCGGCCCCGCCACCCTACCCGCGGCCACGCCGCCCTTACCAGCGGCCCCGCCGCCCTTACCTGCGGCCCCGTGCCCTGCAGCAGCACAGCCGAGCCGCCCAGCAGCCGAGCCGCCGAGCCGCCCAGCAGCCGAGCCGCCCAGCAGCCGAGCCGCCGAGCCGCCGAGCAGCCGAGCCGCCCAGCAGCCGAGCCGCCCAGCGGCCGCGCCGCCCAGCAGCCGAGCCGCCCAGCAGCCGAGCCGCCCAGCAGCTGAGCCGCCGAGCCGCCGGGCCGCCCAGCAGCTGAGCCGCCGAGCCGCCGCGCCGCCCTCCTTCAGGGCCGCCCGACCTGCCCAGTCTGGTGAGCACAGCGCCTTTTCACTGCACTGTCCTCACCCCACTGTTTGCGCTGCTAGTCGTCTAGGGTCATGGCTACCCCTAGTGTTCTCGCCTTTGACGCTGAGGGTAGGGCCATTGACTTTGAGGTCTGGGTAGATGACCTGCAGCTGTTCTTACAGTGCGATAGGGCAGACGGCCTCTCTCTCTTTGACCTCACCTCTGGCACCTCCACTGCCCCTGCTGCTGATGCTGACGCCACTGTTCGCTCCCAGTGGGCCACGCGCGACGCTGCTGCACGTCTTGCTGTGCGTCGCCACCTCCCTACCTCCGAGCGTGCGCACTTTAGTCAGTACAAGAGTGCTCAGACCTTGTACGACGCTGTAGTTGCGCGCTACTCCTCCCCTGCCACTGCTGCACTGAGCCGTCTCATGCTACCGTACCTCTTTCCTGATCTTACTGCCTTTCCCACAGTCACTGACCTCATTACGCACCTCCGCACTAGTGACACTCGCTACCGCGCTGCACTCCCTCCTGACTTCTGTGCCAGGAACCCCCCCCCCATGTACATCACTCTTTACTACATAGTCACTCGCCTTCCTGACTCCCTTCGCGTAGTCAGGGACCACTTTCTCTCTGTCTGTCCCACCACTCTCACTGTTGACCTCCTCGAGAAGTCCCTCCTAGCGGCCGAGAAGAGCATCGTCGCTGTAGGGGCCTCTCGTGGTGACCCGCGCACCCCCATCTTTGAGGGGTGTTCCCCCTCCCCCCTTCTGCCCTCTGTTGCCTCTGCTGCTGCGGCCGACCTCCTTGTTCTTGAGTCGGTCGGTGCGGCGTCTGCCCCTAGCGGGAGACGCCGCTCTGGCAAGGGCAAGGGGGGCAAGGGCGCTGGAGGAGCGAGCGGGGGCGGTGGAGGTGGAGGTGGCGGCAGTTGGGGGAGTGGGGGTGGCGGTGGGAGTGGAGGTGGGGGTGGAGGGGTCGGTGGCGGCAGTGGAGGTGGAGGTGGCGGCGGCGGTGGCGGTGGGAGCGGAGGTGGCGGAGGTGGCGGAGGTGGAGGCGGCGGCGGAGGCGGAGGCGGCGGCAGTAGCGGAGGCGGCGGAGGCGTCGGAGGCGGCGGGGGTGGCGGTGGTGCTGGTCGCGGGTCTTCGCAGAGGAGTGGCTCCGGTGGTGGCTCGCGCCAGCAGCAGCAGCGTGGTCGTGACACCCTGTCCCCTCAGCAGCTTCGTGAGTGGTACACTGCGCGTCAGCGG